GCCCGGCTGGAGGGGCGCCCTTGTCCCCGCCCGCCCCCGGCCGGGTCCCAGGCATGAAGGACAGCTGGGCCGCGGCGGGGGGCGGGGGCGGGGCAGCAAGGGCTCCTGGACTCTAGACCTCCGCCGCCCCAGCACGACCGCCCAGCCCTGGCCCTGGCCCCGGGGCCCAGCCCCGGCTTCAGCCCGGGGGGGTACCGGATCGCGCAGAAACGCACTGAACAGGCCCCTGCCATCGGGCTCCAGAAACTACCTGGGCTCGGCCGACCTGTTGCCTCACATTGGCCAAAGAGGGGGAAACCGGAAGGAGGGAATTCTGCTGCGGCGACTTGACTTTCCAGGCCCCGAGCAGAAAGGTAGGAGGCGACAGGTTGGAATGAGGGAGGGGCGGTGGCTCTGCCCTCCAGATGTCTGGGCACCTTGGCGGTCAGGGGGAAATATGAAAGGTACCGAGGCAAACCAGCCCGAAGAGCTGTGGAGCCCAGCTGGGGAAAGGAAAGGCAGCCGCAGGCTCTCCTCTCCTCCCCAGTCACGATTCCAGGATAGGGTGAGGGGCGGCCCCCTCCCACCCAGGCCCCAGTGCCCGCCTCCCTTTCCGCACAGGCCTGGAGGGTATCCCCTGAACCCTGGGGAATGGAGGGGAATGGGCGGGGGGTGGCCCAGGGAAGGACCTAAAAAAGCAACGATGTCTCCACCCTTCTCCTCCCCCAATTCGGTGGGCATAGGGAGGTCAGTTCTCTTCTAGGCCAAGTCCCACGTCTGTTCTCTTAGCCATCAGCCCTGGGGCTCTCTGCAGCTCCTGCACAGCCCTTGGTCAAACTGCCTCCTGTCCTGTCTTTGAGGCCAGAGGACTGGTCTGTGCCTGCTCCTGCTGTCCCTCGTGTTCCCCTGCCCCTCCCTGAGTGCACCCCCCAAGCTCTGCATTTGGAAACAGGGAAGAGTGGGAGAGACTCATTCCTACCGTCCCCTCCCCCACAGTCTTGCTCTTCCGCCATGTCAGCCCATGCTCCCTAAGGCCCTTAGCAAGGCCCTCCCAGGGCCAGAGTCCCATCCTCCTGCCCCAGACGGCCTCTAGAAGCCCACTGTGTACTGAAGTGATCTGAGAAAAGGAGACCTGTCTGAGCACACAGCGGGTCTCAGCCTGGGCTGGGCAGAGCAGATGGAGGAGGGGCTTGCAGAGGACGCCATTCCTGGGGGAAGCAAGGACCTCTCTGGTGGCCAGGCAACTCAGGTCCCCATCTGTCTCTTTTTTTCTCTTTCAGGCATTGGCGTTTGTAGACCGTGACCCGCCCCTTCTCCGGCCTTGCCTGGGGGTACCTCTGGCCCTGGACCTGCCTGGGCAGAGGCCGAGTGAAGGGCCTGAACGGGAGGAGAGGAAGGGCCTAGTTCCTAGGAGAGGCACAGCACGGACAAAGGCTCATGGGGTGGGGGTGCCCAGTGATCCAGTCCTGGCTCGGGAAGGGAGGCCCGAGTTCCCTGGGAACTGAAATCTGCTAGCAGCACTGTGAAGGAGTGCATTTCCCCCTCCTAATGACAGAGGAAACTGAGGCTTCGGGGAGGTTGGGGATTTGCCCTTGACACGCAGATAGGAGGAGGAGGAATTGAGCGTGTCCCTGGGCCTGCAGGCCCCCACACCCCTCCCCAGTCTTCTACAAGACCTGGCATGGTGGGAGGAGAGAGGGGGAAGCAGAGAGGAAGCATAGGGCTCCTAGGGCACCAAGGGAGACAGGCGCCCGGGGGAGGGAATCTGGGGGTCTAGCTTTCCTTGGAGCAGTACGGAAGGTAACAGGGAAGATCAGGAGGACAGACAGCTGAGATGGGAGACCAGAGAGATGGGCTCCAGGACCCCTGGGGAGCCAAGCTCTCCCCCACAGAACCTAGCTTCCCCACCCCACCTGGAGCTTCACCAAGGGCTCCTCAGCAGTGAAGTGGCCCAAGCCTCCCAGTTTGGTGGCCGAGTGGAGGTGGTGGTGGTGTCGTGGCTCCTGGAGACACGACATAACCAGGAGGTGAGAAGGGATAAACCAGGGGTGGGCCTGGGCTGGGACTCATGGCATGACCCCAATTCTCTCTCCTGAAGCTCGACCCACCATCCCCAGGATCACACAGGAGAATCTCATCCTCACAGCTTGGATTGGTCCTGGGGGCCCCCTGGTGTGCTGCTAACTGGTGTACCACAATGGTCAGGAGCAGCCCAGAGGGGAGCCAGAAGAGACCCTTGCCCTCACCTTCTATCCCCATTTCTGCATCTTTTGCACTGGTATCCCGGGGTCCACATTCCCAGTTCCTGGGACTGAAAACCGCAGCAGTCCAGCCAGCTCCAGGGACAGAGTGGCCCAGCCACCTACCATGTACCCTCCTCAGCTGCCCACTGGACCCAGGTCCTGAATGAAGCTGTCCACCTGCCTCACCCCAGAAGAGGCTGGACGGTGGCTGCCTCGTGCCCCCTGCAGTCTCCCACAGCTAGGGCCTGATGGCGTGCCTCCTTGTGCTAAGTCTCCTGGGAACCCCTGACCCTGCTGGCCCCTCTCATCCACCCCTACCCTGTCCACCCTGGACACCCTCTGGGGACCTGTCAGCCTGCTGGTTCCCCCCACAGATCTCTAGGGGGCAGCCTCCGTGGGACAAGAGTGGCACAGTGCTGGAGGAGAGGAATGAGGGGCCTTCTGGTGTCTGATGCACAGATGTGGCCCTTTCAAACCCTGGTGTCACCCTCTGGGTTACTGGATCCCCAGCGCCAGCCTCTTCCTGGGCCAGTGAGGAAGGGTGGAGGAAAGCTCTTCTCTGAGTGCATGCGTGGGAGTTGGGGGGGTGCCTGAGCCTTCCCCGTGCAAGGGGCTCCGCTTGGGACCCTGGAAACTGCTTCCCTACTGGGAGAAATGCGTGTTGGAGTCACAGGGGTCCCTACCCTCAGAGATCCCCCTCCCACTGCAGGGAGCCCCACCCCATAAGAGGGGCACGGAAGTCCACGTCTGCCCACCCCCGGTGGCCTCTGCTGTGGCTGTATTGGCCTAGAGGGGCTGGTTGGGGAGGGGCAGGGCTGAGCCCTCAGCATCTGCTCCTGTCCCTGCTTTTTCACTTCTGCTGCCTGAAGTGGTAGCCCCGCCTGCTGCTCCTCCACTCCCTCCCTTTCTCTTCTCTCCCCAACGGGGTCCATGCTGTGTGACAGGGTCTCCATGCACTTTATTTATTTGCAGTCTGTTTTCCAGGCAGCAGAGCTTCTACAAATGCAGACACCGACCGGAATGACTTATGCTTTTCTGTGTGTGATTTACTGTATACTGGTCAGCACAGGCTGGCCAGAGAGATGTTCTTGTTTCTGGTGTTGTCACGTCTTGTTTTCTCTAAGTTTAAAAAAAAAAGTCCTTGATTTAATACACTAAAATCCCAACTGGAGGCCTTCTGTGTCTGGTGGGGGATGCAGTGGCCCCGGGTGGAGAAAAGCCCCATGGTGAGGTCACCGTCTCCCATGGCCAGGAACTGGCAGGGAGAAGCCTCCAAGAGGGAGGGCTTGGGGAGGCTGTGGCAGGGACTGTGTTTCCTGTTCAGAGGCTGTGCTGAGACCCAACTTGACCCAAACCACTGCCCCATGAGAAGCAGGCAACAGCCTAGCCTGGCCTAGAGAGGTGGCTGCTTGTCCAGTTTACAACGTCTGTTCAAACGACCCAAAACATAAGTCCTCTTCCGCTTTAGAGTCTGGTTATCAAAAGTGCTGGAGTCAGTAGAATCCTGAGGGTGAACTATGGTGAACTGAACTGAAGCAGACTCCACACAGGTCATTTTGTGTAGTGCTGAGACCCCCCCCCCCCCCCCCCCGGCCCCCTTCCCCCCCCCCCCCCCCACCCCGGTTACTGCAGAATCTTGGAGAAGATAAATGACCTGGTCCCGGAAGCCTGCTTCCCTTCCCTGACCTTGGAGGCAAACTGTCCCATCAGAGCCCTCCTCCCTAGTGACTCCCACAGGAGAGAGAGCTCCCTAGTGGCTGCTGTAGGGGTTGGCAAGTAGGCAGAAGG